CTGGGAGAGGTGAGTTTTGAGGAAGGGCAAGGGCACGATATGGCAGACGTGAGAGGGTATTCAGATGGAAAGAATGGCATGTGCAAAGGCACAGACAAGCTTAGATCTCATCTGATAGGTATCAGGGGAGCCACTGGTGGGCATTTGAGGAGTGGGGGTGATGTAATGGAAATGGTGTTCCAGGGCTTGCCTTGGGTGGAGCTGGGGAAATAGAGCACTGACTTCTGACCTCATTTGGTTTTCAATGCCCACTATTTTTCTGTTTGATTACCCTGAGCCATCATTTTATTTTTGTGCCTGTGACTATCATCCTTTAAAGTCTTAGGTCATAGACACAGAATAAGGGAATTAATTTTATTTAGATCTTTTAAATTCTAATCAGGGAATGTTTTTAAACAGGATATGAAACCAGGTACACAGGGCTGTCAGTTGCTAGGAGGGTGTTGTGTTTACCATTTGGGAGGAGGTACAAAGGAAATCAGTCTTTACAAGACTCCAGGGCTTCTGAAAACTGGCTCTGCCAAAGTCACATACAGGTCATGTCTACACAGAACAATTACCCACTTTTCCAGTTTAGCTGTCACCTTTGATCAAATTAACTAGAAAGTTGGCAGATTTCTATTGCCTCTTGCAGCCCCCACACACCCTACTTCCCCCAGTTCACAAAGGACTATGAAAAGAAAATGGGGGGGGGGACAGAGAAGCTATTCTTAATACTTTGAGGGCACCATCATAGAAGGTATCTGTGACTTGCCTACCCATCATAGAAGGTATCTGTGACTTGCTTACCCAAAGGCAGAACATGAGGCTGGGCTGAATTGACCCTGCACCTGACTGTGTGAAATCTGTTCTGTTATTTATATTCTTAAACATTACTAAGCCAGTGTTTTAGAGTTTACAAGGTGTTTTAGACACATTCCCTAACTTGATCATAAATGTGGATCATTAGAACCAATGAACTAATTTTTAGACAAATAAGTTGAATAAAAGTTCCTTGAAGACAAGCACTGCTTTAATTTTGTCTTTGTATTCCAATGCCTAGCATGGTGCCTGACACATAGTAAGCACTTAATAGGCATGGGGTGATTGATAAACTGATTGATAAATTGAAGATGTGTTGACAAACTACTCAATATTCTATGCCCTTGGGTTTAAAACCCATTGCTACTAGATCGGATTTCCTGATCATTCACAGAGATACTATTCAGAATTTTTTGTGTAAATGCTGCCTTGGCAGAATCTAAATATATGTGGTTTTTTGTAGAAGGTAAGGGTGAAAGGAGGAGATGTAATTTCAGCAGCTACTTGAGTGACAGAAAGAAGATGGCTGAGCCCACCTGAAAAGAACAAGAAGGTAAAGGCTTTCTTATGTTTAGGATGCAGACAAGGAGAAAGCTTGAATGTGAAAGTGCGATGATTAGATGGAAAAGCACCAGATGATTTTGTGCCAGACAAAATTAGGGAGAAGGAGCCAGTACCCCGGAGAAGGCCAGTAGAAGACTTGAAAGGAGAGATTGAAAGTCCTTTAATGATGACCGTAAGAAGCAAGTAGAGAGCCACAAATGTGAAATCTGGAGAGGAGCCAGCTTTGAAGGTCCATGGCAAACAATTATGTACATGTGTATATATGCATGCATTGAGAGAAAGAGAAAGAATAAATTTGAAATAATCAACAGATTAGAATTAAACAATAGAATTAAAGGGGATTGGGAAATATTTCCTGGAAAAAAAATTTAGCTGGGACCTGAAGGCAGCCAGAAAGTCAGCCTGAGGAGGAAGAGCCTTACTGGCATCAGAGAAAATGCCCCCAGCCTTGGGAGATAGAGTAAGTATCTTGTTCAAGCAACAGCAAGGAGATTGGTGGCACTGGATCATAAAATATGTCAGTGCTGGGGGGATGAAAAGTATAAGAAGACTGGAAAGGTAGGAGGAATGGGGCTGGGTTATGAAGTGCAGATAGTTAGGAGAGGCTTATGGCAGAGAGATCAACCAGTTGGCTTGTGAAATAGTCCAACGTGAGAGGCTATAGGAGGATAGTGCAGCAGTGTCAGAGAAGGGAATGAGCATTAATATGGCTCCCACTATACAGCAGGCACTTTACAGATATCTCATTTGCGACAGTAAGGAAAAGAGCCGGAACATGAACTTAGCCCCTTTGAGCCTAAGTCTCATGGTTCTTCTGTCACATCACACTGCCTCCCAATTTAACTTGTCAATGACATAAGTACGCGGTTAGAAGACATAGGAATAAAGTCTAGAAAAATCATATTCAGAGAGTGAGGGTACAATAACACGTAAGCACAGGTAGGCCTTGTGTTCAAATAGGCTTTTATTTTAATCCTCATGTTGAAACCTGGCATCCCACAGTTCCTCTGACTGATCCTTTCAACCAATCGAATAGAGTCACAATAAAAGGGTTCAAAACTTCTGGGTTTCAGAAAACTGATTTAACATGGCCATATCCAAGGAAGATACTTACATTTTATTTTTTATTTTTTTGTAAAAAAGAAAGAAAGAATAGAAAAGAAAAAAAAATAGCATGCAAGAGTGGCTGTAGACAAAACTGTGAAGCAGATAGAGTTTGTCTCTGCTGCCCTCCAACCTGCCTATTCCCTGCCCATGTCCAGTCCTGTCCCCCCACACCTTTAGCCTGTGCCCAGGGTCCCTACTATGCTACTCTAGCTACAATTACCCTTTCCTAGGCGGTGCCCTATTTTTATAGAAACATAAGTTTAAAAGGTTGGGAGAAATTTTAGAAAACATCAAGACCAAACCCTTCATTTGACAGATGAAGAAACTGAGATGAAGAAGTGAAGAGACCCAAAGTTGTACAAGTAACAACAGGAAAAGCCTGGAGGAAAATGGCAGTCTTCTGCCTCTGGGCCCAGGGTTCATTGTACTACATGCTCTGAACTGGTCCATTCTGTCAGCATTTTCCTCCCATCAGCATTCCCCAACTGTTTATAAGTAAAAAAATAAATTAATCCATACTGAAGTATCATTGATGAAGCTAGGTAGTGCAGTGGACAGAGTGTCAGGTCTGGAGTTAGGAAGACTCATCTTCCTGAGCTCAAATCCAGCCTGAGACACTTGCTGTGTGACCCTGGGCAAGTCACTTACGCCTGTTTGCCTCAGTTCCTCATCTGTAAAATGAGCTGGAGAAGGGAATGTAAAACCACTCCAGTATCTTTTGCCAAGAAAACCTCAAGTGGGGTCACAAAGAATTGGACACAACTGAAATAACTGAACAATACAAAACAAAGTATTAGTAGTAGTAGTAACTCATATTTATGACCAATAAAGCTTAATGTGTGATCCTTCCCAGACATTTAACAGTGTAAAATGCTTAACACAAAGCAATGACTCTCTAATGGTAGAATTCCAGGTTCTAAGGAAGGAGCTCTTAACTTTCTTTTGGGTCATGGACCCCTTTGACAGTTTAGTGAGCCCTAGCCATGCCTTCTCAGACAAGTGTTTTTAAATGCATAAATCAAAATGCACAGAATTACTAAAAAAACCAATTAGGTTGCATTTTTTTTAACTTCATGGATGGCAGGTCAAGAAGGGGAGTTTTTTAGGGCAGGCAGAGTAGCTTTCCCAGTATTCTGGGAAGCTCCTGCTCTTTTACATCTGAGTCCAATCAGCACTGTGTATAATCATTGAAATGAAAATCATTGGAATTGGTTATCCCAGCATGTGTTGGAAGAAATGGGCATGTTTTACCTGCAGAGATTTTGGATAGTGGGGGATAGGCAGCTAGGTGGCACAGTAGATAAGAGTGCTGGGCCTGGAGTCAGGAAGCCTTATCTTTGTGAATTTAAATCCAACTCAGACACTTACTAGCTGTTTGATTGTGGGCAAGTCACTTAGCCCTGTTTGCCTCAGTTTCCTCATCTGTAAAATGAACTGGAGAAGGAAACAGCAAACCACTCTAGTGTCTCTACCAAGAAAACCCCCAAAAGCGGTCGATGAAGAGTTGGACATGATTGAAACTACTGAACAACAGGGATAGGGACCTAAGTTCCTTTAAGCACACGAAGGGCCATAATACAGAATAGATATTACCTTTATTCTATTTGGTCCCAGAGGGCAGAACCAGAAGCAATGGGGAGAAACTGTAGAGAAGCACATTTAGGTTATATTTAAAGAAAAATTACTGAACAATTAGCTGTACAAAAGTGGAAGGGGTTGTCATCCCTGAAAGGCAAGTGGGAGGCTGTGTCATAAAGGGAATGCTTTTTCAGAAATGGGATGGTTGAAAGGCCCATTCCAGTTCTGAGATACTAGGATTCATGTGTGGCTTGCAGATTTAGTCTCATTTTTTCACAATCACCCCCTTATGTAATAAAAAAGGAACAAACATGTCATTTCCCTAAAAGTGTTCCCTACTTCTTATTGGTCAGTAAGCCAGGCTGGCAAAACATAATTTCTCTGTCATTATTGAGTACATTACTGTACTTGGGAGGGAGGAGAGAGAGAGTGTGAGTGAGTGTGTGTGTGTGTGTGTGTGTGTGTGTGTGTGTGTGTGTGTGTGTGCTGCTGTCTCCTCTTGTCCCACTGGACCAGCTTCTCTCACAGACTACTAGCCTTTTTCTGTGCCAACTGTAATTTTCCTACTATTTCATTTGTCACTGGCAGTGCTATCCCCAGTTTTAACTAGAAAATGGTTTTACAAACACTCCTCTCTGGCTTAGGTGTTCTCTAATCAGACTCTTCCATGGATCCAAAACACTTGATGCATTGTGGGGAATGATACAAGTGTGTTGACTCAGTGGAACACCCGAGATGGTATGATCAGCCTGTATAAAATGAGCTCAAATTCCCTTCTGAGTCACTCACACTAATGGGAGAATTAACTGTGTGTCCCCAAGGCTTATCAGGCAGTGCGGCGATGCTCCACAGTAAGCTGGATTTTCACATTCTCAGGACTGCCCAACAATGTCCAATTCTTTGACTAGCCCCTACATCCCTCTACTTGTTCTCTTCTCTTTCCATTGCAGAGGGAAGTCCTGCAGAACAATTACTTTTGAACAATTTAAAGAAGCTCTGGAAGAACTCTCAAAGAAGCGATTTAAAGATAAGAGCAACGAGGAGGCTATCCAGGAGATACACAAACTCATCGAAGGAAAAGCCCCGATAATATCAGGAGTGACGGTATAGAAACACATCATGGGGCTAGATTTCAAGCTTTACCTGGCAGGGGGAAGGGTGGCTCCCCTCTAGCTGTGCTTGGGATGTAGGGTAGAGAGGAATAGCCGGGAGGAATGGGCTTGCCTTCACGTACCTATGTCACAACTCTGAGTCATGGTAGAGGAGGAGAAGGGAGGGAACTGGGAGGGAAGTAAAATGAGGAGCAATGGACATGGGGCGGGGAGGTGCACTAAAGGACAGGTGAGGGGCAGTGTTCACTCACCTGACACCGCCTGGTTACTTCTCCTTCTGACATCCTGGCATCGGATGCTGGCATAGGACCTCTGAGGCCCAAGGCTATCTGGGAACCATGGGACCTTAACCAAAATCCACTTTACCTCTGGGCAGGTCCTCATCTCCTCACACTTGGAGCATTTTAATAACCTGCTGGTGGGTCTGCCTGCCTCAAGTCTCTCCCCACTCCAATCCATCCTCCATTCAGCCACTAAAGTGATTTTCCTAAAGCTTAAGTCCCCTACTCAGTAAACTCCAGTGGCTTCCCATTGCCTCCGGGAGCAAATACAAAATGCTTTTTTTTTTGGCATTCAAAACCTTCAAAACCTAGCCTCCTCTTACCTTTCCAATTTTCTTACACCTTACTCCCTAACATGTACTCTTCGATCCAGTGACATTGGCCTCCTGGCTGTTGCGTGAACAAGACATCTCTTGGCTCCAGGCATTCTGTCTGGCTGTCCCCCATGCCTGGAACGCTCTTCCCCACTCCATGCTGACCAGTGACCTCCCTGGCTTCCTTTAAGTCCGAACTAAAATCCCACCTTCTATAGGAAGTCTTCCTTCACTCTTCTTAATTCCAGTGTTTCCCCTCTCCCCAATTATTTCCTATTTATTCTGTATGTAGCTTGCTTTGTATATATTTGTTTACAGATTGTCTCTTCCATTAGATTGCAAGCTCCTTGAGATCAGGGACTGTCTTTTGCCTCTTTTTGTATCCCCAGAGCTTAGCATAGTGCCTGGCATATAGTAGGTGCTTAATAAATGTTTATCGAATGAATTAATGAAAATGACATACGGGCAGGATTAGCATCCCTTCAACAACATGACTATCACTTAAACCCACTCAAAAGGACCTTCTCAACAAACGTTCAGTCTCCATAGTATTCATGCTTCATAGCCAAGTGAGAGCTAGACATATCGCACTAACATTTAGTCTCATCTGCTCCTGACTGTGTGACCTTGGGCAAATCACTCCACTTCCTTGGGGCTCAGTTTTCTCATCTTTAAATGAAGAGGCTGGGCTAGATGAGGCTCCATGGCCCACAGTGTGGCTATCTTCTGGACCTTCTGATTTAATTTTATTTTTTTAATAGAGGTAGCATGGAACGGTGGGATGTGGGTGGTTACAGTGGATAGAATGCCAGGCCTGGAGTCAGAATGAATCATCTTCCTGAGTTCAAATCCAGCCTCCGATACTTATTAGCTGTGTGATCTTGGGTAAGTCACTTAACCCTATTTGCTTCAGTTTCCTCATCTGTAAAATGAGCTGAAGAAGGAAATGGCAAACCATTCCAGTATTTTTGCCAAGAAAACCCAAAATGGGGTCACAAAGAATTGGACACAACTAAACAACAATAAGCAGGGTGCAGTAGAACAGAGGTATCAGAGGGCAGGCTGCTGAGCGTTATGGGAACCCAGATTAAAACGTAATTGGGAAATATTTTTTAAATAAATCAAAATACAACTGAACAGAGATAATGTTAATATGTAATAATATGTAAAATGTTCATATGGGATAATGTTAATAATATTTTATAAGTTTTCATGTTTCATTAAATATTTCCCAATTCTATATATTTTTTAAAAATTAACATTCATTTAAAAAAATTTTGAGTTCCAAATTCTCTCTCCCTCCTGTCCCCCACCCCACCACTTGAGAAGGCAAGCAATAGATATTGATTATTCATGTGAAATCACGCAAAACATATTTCCACATTAGCCATGTTGCAAAACACACACAAAAAAAACCTCAATAAAAGTAAAGAAGGTTTTAAAAGTATGCTTCAATATACACTCAGAGTTCATCAGTCCTCTCTCTGGAGATAGATGGTATTTATCATCATGGATCCTTGTCTCAGATCATTATCTTGACCCAAGTAGCTAAGTCTTTCAATATCTAGTTTTCTAAGACAATATGCACTCCGCAAGAATGCTCATTGTGGTTTGGTGGCTCCTATTCTTGTTTGAATTTGACAGCCCTTACAGTAGATGGTTCTAGGTTTTAAGTCAGAGGTCCTGGGTTCAAATCCTGACTCTACTACCTACTACCTTGGGCAAGTCACTGAATTTCTCTCATCCTGTTTCCTCATTTGTACATTGAGTTGTGCTCAATCACCTCTTAATCTCATAAAATCTACAATCTGTGACCGAAACTAGCATTTTGATTAAACTTCAAGCACATTTGCAATGAGGACCTATAGATTTTAAGGGAGAGCAGGAATTAAGTACTGTCTATTCACAGAAGAGTGAGTAAGCAGTTGTCTTTGTTTTGTTTTCCCCATCCATGCTGAATATTAATCTGCTTGTGGAGGGTTTCAGTCACTCTACTACATAATAAACAAGGTAGATGGGTTACCAGCTTGCTATAATTTGAAGAGGGAGGACAAGTCCTTTTACATCCTCCTTTCTAATACCTCTCTTTATACTAGTCACTGATAACTGAAAATCTACCTTTTATTATCTCCCAGCTTTGTCCTTTGTTAAAATATCCTTGGGAAGGGTAACTTCCTAAATCTTTCAGTCATTCATCCCTCAGTGCAAACGAATCTGCTGGACTCTTTTCTGGGAGCAGGCTCTGTAAAATAAGTGGTTAGCAAAGTATGAGAGTAATGAGCAATTGATGTTGAGGGGAAAACAAAAAGAAGAGGAAGAAAGATTCCAAGGATGTTGATGAAGACAAATGCAGACTTAGCAATCTGGCACCGCCTGTTAGTATCAGAGGACAGGGAGAAGATTAACATTTCAGACACTGAGCAGCTAGAGTTGAACCCAGGAGAGGGCATGAGGAGCTGATATAATGACTGATAAGCTACTGAGTCTAACCCCTTCATTTTACAGATAAAGAAACTGAGGCACAGAAAGAGTAGATGACTTGCCAAGAGATGCACAGCTTATAAGTGCTTGAAGTGGAATTTGAACCTAAGTCTTTGTGACTCCAAGTCCATTGCTACCACTAATACTCAAAGTGTGGTCCAGGGACCTTTGGGGGCTCCTGAGACCCTTTTAGGGGATCTGCAAGGTCAAAACTATTTGCATAAAATATTTGACATTGTAATTTCTAATATGGTGAATATTGATAGATAGGACAGAAATAAACAAATGGTCTTTGAGGGGTCCTCAATAATTTTGAAGAGTACAAAGGGGTCCCGAGGCCCAAAAGTTTGAGGACCACTGTACCACACTATGCTGGCATTTAAGGATACCACTATCTTAGATATGTCTAAGAAAAGATTGGGTCAAAAAAGGTTAAGTCCCTGGGTATTTCTGGAGGGTTAGATAGCATTTCATAGCATCCTTGAATTCTGAAGAAGATAAAATAAAGTGTTTGTCTTGAGGTTGACTCCATTCATTTCAGTCTTACTTGACCAGGTTCCCAACACAGCAGTAAATTCTAATTTCACTGTTGAGTTCACCATGTCCTGGCTACTTTAGCCAATCTTTTTTTCTTAAACTGGGCCCGTTTAGATTATCACTGGGGTCTTTTAACATTCAGAAGTTGGGGGAGCAACAGAATTGTCCAAAAATGCAGTGAGCTAAAATTTTGTGAGATAATGAGTTCTTTGTCACTGGAAGTGTTTAAGAACAGGCTGAACGGCCATCTGTCAGGGATGTTGTTGGATACATAACAAGTTTAAGTGCTTTTATGCCATAATTTCCTTTAAGTCTGTAGATACATTACTATCCCCATTTGCAGATGAGGAAGTTGAGACTCAAAGGCTAAGTGAACTTGCCCAAGGTCACTAGTGGCAGAGTTTGGAGAAGAATCCAGATCTCCTTCCTCTTACTCCAATGCTGTATTTTTTTTCCTCCTCTGCACCATAAAACGTCTTCCAAGAAATATCTGATGGCTCATCTGACACTCTCAGACTGGAGAAAACCTGGTCAATGTCCACAGTCCAGATCATTCAGAGCTCCATGTGGTTTGTTTTGCTATATAGCCATACACTATGGCCAACTGGAACCCAGCCCAAGATGAACACAGAATAAAGGATTCAGAATTAATGTAGAAGCATGCTTATGATTAGTGTAAATTTCTGAGAATGAAATATTGGTGCAGTAAGCTGTATCAAGTTATACATGACATGAAACCAAATTAATGGATTTTCCAGGAAGCACTCTATTCTACTCAATGGATTTACCCAGTTTAGTCATCATAGGCCAACCTCACTTAGCACTGCACTTATTAACCACTTCTGGCTATGGGTTTTCTCAAAACCTATTTCTATGCTATATACATGTATAATATACATATATATACACATACATACATATACATATGCATGCCATTTCTATGTCATCTGTACATATACATGTATACACACCCATTTATTCAGTCTCTTAAAATATTTTAAAATTTCATTTAAAGTTCTTTTTAAACTTTGAGTTCCAGATTCCCTCTTCCTTCCCACTCCCACACCTATTGAGAAGGCAAGAATTATGATATAAATTATACACATGAAATCATGTAAAATATGCTCCTATATTAGCCATATTTTTTAAAAGGCAAGAAAAAGAAAGTGATAAAATTATTCTTCCATTTCCACTCAGAGTTCATCATTTCCTCTCTTTGGAGGTGAATAGCATTTTTTCATCATGAGTCCTTTGGAACTGTCTTGGATCATTGTATCGATCAGAGTGGCCAAGTCTTCCACAGTTCATCATTACAACATTGCTATCACTGTGCACAATAATTTTCTGTTCTCCTCACTTCACTTTGCATTAGTTCATTTAGGCCTTGTCATGTTTTTCTGAAATCGTTAATTCATTTGTGAAACATTTGGGTACCAATTATGTACCCCAACCTTCCCTGAGTTTGCCTTCGCCTTTCTTTTTTCATCACTCTTCACTTTAAAAGTTTGGCACTTTGCAAACCTTAAAAGGGCTATATAAGTATTCGCTGTTAAGAATAAGCCCAGGCAGGACAATAAACACTAATCCTTGCACATAGTCTGCAAGAAAGATAAGATGTACCTAACGTGACTTGTGAAATAGATGATGCCTAAAAGAATTATTTTGCAGTGAATTCAGCAAGCATTTAGTAAGCACCTACTGTATGCCAGGCACTGTGCTTGACATTGGGGAGACAGACAATAATAATCAAACACTTCATGTCATCAAGGAACTTAAACTCTATTGGGAGTAAAGGGGATGGGATTTTACTGTACTTTAGATTCTCGGTTCCCTTCTCATTTTGTTTTTATAGGACACTGCGTATTTGGGTAAGACATGTTTCTGTTCTCTTAAGCAATTTGTTTGGGATGGAAGTGAAACAGCCAAAGGATGTTTTAGGGTGGTGATGGGAGGGAGGGCAGGAGTTTGTAGAAGGGTTATTTATGTAGGTTAGGCAAATTCAAATTTCACTGGTTGGGTAGAATTTTTTGGGGGGGCTAGGCAATAGGGTTAAGTGACTTGCCCAGGGTCACACAGCTAGTAAGTGTTATGTGTCTGAGGCTGGATTTGAACTCAGGTCCTCATGACTCCAGGGCTGGTGCTCTATCGACTGCGCCACCTAGCGGCCCCCCAGATAAGATTTTGAGAGCCTAAGGTTTCTGTTTGTTTTGAACAGTATTCACCAGGATTATTCTTAAAGACGACAGACTAATAAAATTCCTAAAAATATAAGCTAACGTATAGTAGTAGATCCATGACAGACAGACATGGTGGAGCACACAATTTTTGCTGTTTGGTCTTTTGAGTGGTATCTGAGTCTTTGTGACCCCATCTTGGGTTTTCTTGGCACAGATACCAGAGTGGTTTGCTATTTCCTTTTCTAACTCACGTTAGAGATGAGAAAACTGAGGCAGAGCTAAGTGACTTGCCCAAGGTCACACAGCTAGTAAGTGTCTGAGGCCAGATTTGAACTCAGGAAGATGAATCTTCCTGACTCCAGGCTCAGCACTCTATCCATTGCACCATCTAGAGAGAGTTGCAAATTCAGTACTTTTGGGGAAGTACAAGTTCTGAGCTTCCACTGGGCCACAGAATCAATATCATTCAGTTTCTAAAGTCCATGAGTTCAGGCTTTGGTTGGCCTCAGAGCTGAGGTTATTCTGGGCCTTTGCCATCCTTCCACTTCTAACAATAGAATACATAATCAGTACATTTATGCCATCACTCCTAATACCACATGCTATTTTCTCATATTTTAAAATGCCCATTGCCTAGGTTCCAAACTAATTAGGAGACATGGATTGTCTAATAAAAGCTATTAAGATCTCTTCTACCCTTTTCCCTACCGCCCTGGAAGGCCCTTGAGGTAAATCTTTTTTTTTTCTTCTTCAGGAGGCAATTTGGATTAAGTGACTTGTCCAGGGTCACAGAGGTAGTAATGTCAAGTGTCTGAGGCCGGATTTGAACTCAGGTCCTCTTGACTCCAGGGCTGGTGCTCTACCCACTGCACCACCTAGCTGCTCTTTTTTTTTTTTAAATTTTGAGGTAAATCTTTAATGAAAAGAGGGATTTGAATAGACAGAAATGAGGCAGGGTGGGGGGAGATATCCATTCCCACATAGTCCTATTATTTGGGATCTTCCCCACTCATTTCTGCCTATTCAAATCCCTCTTTTCATTAACAATTTACCTCTGGGGTCTCCCCCTCCTCCAAGGAGATTTCCCAGAACCCACAGGTTAAAATGATGTCCCTGTCCTCATAGTTATCTTATCATACTCTTCTTTACATCTATGCATAATAAATAGTTCAGTTGGTACAGCGGATAGGGCATTAAACTTGGAGTCAGGAAAACCTGAGTTGAATCCTGCCTCAGACATTGGCTAGGTGCGTAACCTGGACAAGGCACTTAACCTTTGTCTGCCTCAGTTTCCTCACCTATAAAATGGGGCAAATAATGGAATATCTCACAGGGTTGTTGTAAGGATAAAATAAGATAGGTAAAGGGCTTTTAAAATCTCAGTGTTATAGAAATGCTATTATATTGTTGTTGTTATTACTATTGTTATGTACTTTGACATTCCACCAGATTTTTAACTCTTAGAAGCTAAAACAGAGGTTAAACAGTTAAAACAGAGGTTCTTAAACTTATTTTTAATTTTATGCACCCCTTTGTCTCTCTGGTGAAGCCTATGGACCCCTTCTCAGAATGTTTTTAAATGCATCTAATAAAATACATAGAATTATAAAGAAAATAATTATATTGGAATAGTCATCAAAATACTTTTGTAACTTCATTGATCCTAGGTTAAGAACCCCTGTCCTAGAGAATAAGGCCCAGATTGTATATATCTCTGTAACCCTATTGACTAGCATATGTCTTAGCTTTATGCCTTAGCATATGTCTACTTAAATTGAATCGGTTGAAATGAAATGTTTATTTTACATATTTACCCCTCTGCCTTTTCCTTCTTTTTTCTTCTTTCTCTCCCTCCCTTCTCACCATACCTGGTCAATCTTCCTGCATCCCCACGACAGAAAGCCATCTCCTCTCCAACTGTGTCACGACTTACAGATACATCCAAATTCACTGGTTCCCACAAGGAGAGGTTCGATCCATCTGGCAAGGGAAAGGGCAAGGCAGGCAGAGTGGACTTGGTGGATGAGTCAGGCTACGTGCCTGGATACAAGCATGCGGGCACGTACGACCATAAAGTCCAAGGAGGGAAATAGGCGTCTCGTACGGAGAACAAGCCTTGTCAGGACGGCGATGGCACACTGTTCAGGTTGGCATGAATGAGAAAGTGATGATGTTGGAAATTGTTTTCAGGAACTGGAACTTATTCTACCACCTGCTGAGGTCCTCACAACACAGGGCAACACTTCTTTACATTCCTCATGTTTAACGTGGGCAAAAGCAAAAGGAAAAAAAGAGTCTCTGAGCTTTAGGCAAGAAACCAAATGGAAACGTCTTTTTTTTTTTCTTTCTGATCCACACCATATCAGTAGCACTAAGAGGCCAGCAACATTCCCAAATGTTCAGTGTTGCTTCAGGGGTGAGAGAGGGTCTCCTTTTACCCCTCAGATGGGGTGTTCTCCTGGCCTGCTTCACATTTGGCAGAATATCTTTCAGAAGAACATCTCCCACTTGAGTGGGTTAGGGGTCTGGCCATGCCTGATTCCTTTCTAATGAGTCCACTCTGCCCTCGGAGACAAAATGCTGAGCATTAAACTGGGAAGTAAATGGCTGTTTTTCCAAAGAGACTTCAGTAGGTCCCTATTACTACCCTATTTGCAAGCAGAGGAAGTTTCTTCCTGGAAAGCCAGAGAAATATAGCTCCTGGATGACTAGTATGTGAGCAGAGGGATAACAGGGCACATCTTCGTATGTCTAAAGTGGCCTCTTTCCCTTATGTGAACCATACCCACTTTAATCCAAATTACCAATACATATAAGGGTCAAAACAGCAAGACTGGGAGTGGGAGGGGGGGAAAGGGGGAGGCTGGAGTCAATTAGAGCTAATCTACTAACTAGAACTATAAAAACAACTAAACTAAGCCTTAGGTGACAGAAAACAGGATTGAAGGATGGCCACAATTTGTTTCTAGGCTTACACTGCCACATAGTGGGTGTGAAGGGCATCGGGGGGAGTCTCACATACACAGTTTAACATGCAAAGGCTAACCCTAACGCTGCCGAGGTTTTGTCCAGAATTTGGCTCACACTGCCATGCTGTGTGTTTGTGTAGGGTACAGAAGTCTAATACATGTGAACACAACTCCACACATCTACATGGTGTCCACTTATATGCTAGCTCTGAGGTGATGAAGTTTGAAATCTCAAATAACAAAGGTCAAACGAACGGGAAGAAAGTCTTGTGAGGTAGGACATAAAAACTTCCCAGTTTACAAAACGCCAATCATCCCCTCACCTCTCCTCCCTCTCTAGAGCAGCAGAAAAATTACTTGAGTTTTAAGTCTTCTAATATTTATAAAGCATGTGAGCAATTTATGAAAGGCATTGGTATGTGTCACAGAGTGCTCATTTCATATTACTTAATGCAAAAAAATTGAGTTCCAACCAATGCAACGGCTTTTATGTTTTCTGTCCTGCCAGCAGAAGTCCAGAACAAACCCATTATTTGTCACCATTTCCCCCTCTTTGAAACTAAAACCAACACATCGTTAAGTCCAAAACATGCAATGAAAATGAATGATGATTTTTTTTAGCCTGGGCATTTGCAGTTGACCATTTAAAGCTTTGCTTTTCCTTTTGTGAAATGGAGTTCATGCATTAACTTTAATAATATGTAACTTTGGCTATTAAAGTTTAATCAACTTTACAGTCTCTCTCTGTTTGTCCCTTTTCCCATTTTGGATTCAATACAGATTAGAGGCATCTTTCAGAGTGTGATCAGGATGGGATTATGTATGCTGGCTTTGCACAGAGTCAATAATGCCCTCTGGAATTAACAATACCCAGCCAGAATTAACCCCCTCTCCCCTTTTTAAAAAACTCTTGAACAGTCTTTTGCTCTTTTTTTTTAAACAGCAATTTACTCTTAACTGACTTTCCCTTGGAAGCGTCCTTTATAAACTTGGCCTCCCCTGAACTCTTCCAATCCCTAACAGGACGTGAAACCAAAACAACAAAAATAAACAAAGGAAAGAAGTCTCTCTTAGGTCCCAGATTTTTGTTTGGATTTTGTTTTGTGTTTGCGAGAAAAGAGAAACACAGCCATGAGTCCATTTTTCAGCATGCCCTGGGTACTGCCCTGTGTTAGAGTTTTCCAATCTGTTGCCGTCACTGTATGTTCAGGTTTCTTGAAGTTAAGATATTTTTGTGGAGGTATAACAGTCTTAACCTTTTGTTGTTGCTGTTGTCATTTCTGTCTTTGCAATCTTATGTTAAACAGGGTCCCTGCCTCATTCACAAACCATAAAAAAGTGTCTACAAACATTTCCAACTGCATCCATGTTCAGTATTTATAGCCGAGGTAACATTTTCTTAGTATTACTACATTTGCCAATTTGTTGAACATGCATGTTTATTTAGGTCTCAGGAATCTTTACTTTTTTGTATTCAACACCATTTCAGTCATGGAAATATTTAAACAAAACTTTATAGAAGATGTGACTCCAGGTTTTGTTGTGAGCTGAGCATTATGTGGAGGTACAGATAGCTAGTAGGGCCAGGCCTCCCAAGAGTGAATTTATTCACTTGCTAGGCAAGCATAAGGGCAGGGAAAGCTTTGGAATGTTTCTCCCCCACCCACCCAGAAGCTTGAGAGCCTGAAAGATAAACTCCCTATCTTGTGGTGTTGGTGTCTTTTTTTTTTTTTAAAGACAGGCAGATACAGACTGTGCCCCGAATACCTCAGGAGCCAAGGGTCCTTCTCCCTAACCAGCAAAGGAAGCATTAGCTGGTAGCATTTAAGGAATGCTTCTCTTTTGGCCATAAAGAAGTTGGAAACTGATGGCTTCTATGTAGTATCCTGTTTAGTTTTCACAGATAATGTCATAGCATTTAGATACTGAAAGATTCCCTGACCCAGCCTTCCCACAATTACCACATAAATCAACACATCCATTAACTTTATTAATTCAGTTGACTCATTCTTTCATTCACTAGTTCAACAAAAATTATGCTATAGGCCTACTGTGTGCAAGGTACCATGCTAAGCACTAGGGGAGATGTAAAGGTATATGATTTGGTCCCTGTACCCCAGGAGGTCACAGACAAGGGGAGACATAAATAAAGCACAGTCTCTTTTACTATCATGTAAAAAAATTCTTCCTAGGATATTAACTATGTCAGCTGATCCAATATTGAGTTAACTGATTCACACACTACTCCTAGGGACTAAATTATGCTGAGTTTTGCCAGGCTTTGTTTTGCTTTAGCTTGTGGTCCTGGGACCTGGGGAGCAAACCTCTAGCTGCAGCTTGCTTCCCATTCAGACTGGCAGTCTGACTTGTTTTATCCAGCTAAAAGAGTAAAAGGCTCTTTTCTGATTCTCCATACCCAGCAAAAGAGGTTCTGAAAGCACCTGCACCAATGCAAATTCCTGGGCATTTGAGGGCCTTGCCGAGGTGAGGCAGGAAATAGAACAAAGATTTCTTAGTCATTTCCCTTGTATTATTGATGTATTTACACTTAGTGGTCTTACAGAAACCAAAAGGAAATGATAGGGAAGTTTATTAGTTAGCAAAGAATCCCTCGGGTTGAGATAAGGCGTGGTTCACTGAACTGCCATTCTGTATACTCACAGGATCAAAGATATAGAGATATGGAAAGGACCTTAGAGGTCATCACATCATTTTACAGATATGGAAACTGAGGCTGAGGGAGGTTAAGTGACTTGTCCATGGTCACATAGCTAATAAGTATCAAAGACAGGATTTGAACCCAGATTTTCCTGACTCCAAGTCCAGTAATCTATTCATTAGTTAGTAAAGTAGAGGTTTAGAACAACTATCAGATTAATTAATGCCGAGGGGAGCAGAAACATTTGCTTGAATTTTCAGGTCATTTCTGGTTAAAATGGGGCCTGAGAGCCCTTGCATTGGCTTACAGACTCTGTACTTAGAAGGCCTGTGCCTGCGGCCAGCAGAAAGGCAGACCCACAACTCTATCATGGACTTTTAAAGTGGCTGTGTTATTGAGATGGGATATGCCACTTATTGCATGTAAAACATGAGTCTTTCTTTTTCCCTTAAATACCGTGATGTCACTTCTGAGCTCAGAAGTTTACAAAAGCCCCACTTAACTTTAGTGTCAAAGGAAATTCAATTTAGGTATCTTTCCTTGTTCAACCCCATGGTTGTGGATGATGAGGGAGAGAAGGATGGCGGTGCTTCGGTGTACCCCCTGGGGAATATCCACAGCAAGAACTTTTATTGGCTCTGTTCTTCAAGTACAGTAAGCGCCTCATACCATATATACACGTATATACAGAATAATGTGAACTATGGACATTCTACAAATGCTACAGGTCAGCTGGACCCAAAGTCAAAACATAGCCAGAGACGTGGAAATGCAGCTGTTCTCAATATAAAGTGACTGGTGAGACATTTGAGTCTGGATTGGATGCATCATTTGGCCTTTCCAAGCAACAAATAGCATCTGCTTCAAATGCAAGAAGTCCTCTACTGTCATTTTACAGTCCATTTCCAAGGACTCTTGGCAAAAGCCCTGGCTGAATCCCCCTGAGGTATCTGAGAGTCTAGTTTAAGAGACTGAGGGGATCTTTTCACCTTAGAAGATGAAGAGCTGAGGTTAACTGGAGATCTCAGACTCTAGTAGTTGTTTGTAGACATGAGGACAAGCTCTCCCTGCTTCCAATGAATGTATCAAATCAGACATTTCATAAGAAACCCTGGGAATAAAAGAAAACCAAAATAACTTTCTCCTGGCTTTCCTCACAGGTCTGGACCTACATGTAAAGAGTATCTCTAGGCAAGAGCTAATTATGCTTGAAAAATTCTTTTGCAAAAATCTAAAAACTGATGGTAGCAATATTTTAACATGAAAGTGCAGTAAACAGGCTTAAAACCCATATATTCTCTGTTACTCCATCCCTCAGACTTTCTCTTATAGTCCAGTGGCTATTACCAATTACTCATTATTGATTAGAAGGACACCTCCTTGGTTATCTGAAGAGAAACCCAGTTTGGGGCACAGAACATGCTTGTGTGAATGTAAAGTAGAGAAAAGTGAAACAGTCCTCCCTGCTTTCCCTCCAGTTTGTCAACCAACTTATAGAGGGAAGCTAAGATAGAAAGACTTTGTTTTTCTCTTTTTGATCTTTACACAGGTAAGCTTCTCCCCCTGCCAGGGTCTGCACAACAGCTAAAGAAAAGGGACCCACACAATGGGTCAGACTTTTTTTTCTTTTTTACATCCCAAACAACATGTGTAAGCATTCCCCCTGCCCTTTTAAATGCTTCACAGAACTTCAAAGGGGCTAAACTGGCCATCTGTGGGAAAAGATTTAAATGAATCCATGACAGGGCTTATTTCAAAGGAAAAGAATATACTCTCCCTTCAGTGGCAGCTATCATAGGGCACAAAGTTCAAGCGGTCCTCACATCTTTCTTCTTCTTGAGACTTCTTTTATCCACAAAATACTGAAAGGAGTGAGGATATAGAGAACCAGAATTATTGTGTCCTGACTCAGGGCAATGGCCCATTGTCTTGAACCAAAAACTAAACTCTTCAATTTCCAACCAAATGCTCAAGAAATTTGCCCTAAAAGGAGAATATGGCAAGTGTGATAAGCTAAGGAACAACAACAAAAGTCTAATACTCCCAAATTTTGGTGAGCCAAGTTCAACAAACTACTCTGGGGTGAGCTGCTCTCCTCCAGGGAAAGAATAGACCTTCCAGGGTGTCAAGGTTCAATCCACTTCATAAATTATGCCTCTCAAGGGATAAGGTCTCTTTACCCCCTCAAAAGTGAACTGCCTTTGGGGGTGGGGTGAGGAAACAAAGCAATTCATAACAACCAGGCACCCTCTAGAGAATTTTATAAAATAGAAACATTCATTTTCTAAAAGTTTTTGATAAGAAAACCTCAAGTGTGTTTTCCAAACCCTTACCTAGGAAAAACATTCATCTCATTGCCTCCCTTATAAGCTGGATTTGAAATGCTAAAAGAATAACAAAGCAAAGGGGCCAATGGAAATAAGTTTGATCAAGTGGAAAAAAACATGAAAAATTATGGAGATGGCTCTTTTGGCCCATTCAACTCCATTTGACTATATCCTAACACTGCTCAAGAACTGTTCCAGCAAAGTGAAGAAGATAGGCTTTTTGGTGACCTTTTCAATTTTATAATCTCACCTGTACTGCAAATAGTATGCACCTTCTCACACTAAGGGGCACTGAGAACCTGCTAGTTGTTTTTTCCTTCTGCCTGAGAATGACAAATGTCACTAGGGAGTAGAGGTGTTGAATTTCTGCTCAGCAAGCAAATGGTTGAAGCATCTGTTTCTACAGAGTCGTTATGACCTGTTCACATTCAACCACAACATATTCTTCTGGCTTTGTGATTATTTCTTTTGGTCTAGTACTAAGATATAGGTTCTGGTTTCATTCCAGGCCTAAAACTCTGGTATCTGATCAAGTTGATTTCCAAGTTCCTCATTGTTTTGGTTTTAGATAGTCCTTATTAAAGTCTTAATGACATTTGATGACATGTTATCATGGACAGGGACTGGACTTGGAACCAGAAAGACCTGGGTTCTTCCCTTAAACATTTACTAGCTGCATAGGGCGGCTGGGTTGACGGAGTGTATAAAGTGCTGGATCTGGAGTCAGGAAGACATGAATTCAAATTCAGCCTCAAATACATACTAGCTGTGGGACTCTGGAAAAGTCGCTTAACCCTGTTTCTCTCAGGCTCTTCATCTGTTAAATGAGCTAGAGAAAGAAATGGCAAACCACTCCAGTTTCTTTGCCAAGAAAACACTAAAAGGGGTCACAAAGAATCAGACACAACTGAACACGGCTGAACAATCTAAACAGATGACAACAAACAATTGTGTGGCCATGGTCAAGTCACTTAGCTTTTCTGAGCCCTGCTCTCTCCACCTTTAAATTAGGGAGCTGGACTTGATAGCTTCTAAGGTCTCACCTAGCTTTAAATTTCTGATTCTATGGCTGTAAAATAAGATTCATCTTATTCCCTGAAAACTGTTCAGCTATATCTGGGCAACAAGACCAGCATTTCTGACTCTCCACTATTCAGGGTGGCCGTAGAGGCAAGTTATAGTGAATAGTAGTGATGGTTGAAATAACATTTTACCAATTGAACAAATACCCTGTGGGATATGAGGATGTCTATAGATTCAGGCTTTACTTCTTCTCAACTGAGTATTTCAGCAGTTTACCTCCTACCAGGGCAGATTCTCTATTTGAGTACACACGAGCCTTTCTTTGTTCATGTGTAGCTGAGGATAGGGGCATCTTTCCTTTAAAAAAATCAAGCTTTGGGAATACAGACTCATTTGCCTAGTCATATTTCATCATTTATCTGCAACCAAGGGGTGGGAAGTACTGATAATTCTAGTGAGCATCACTTCCCAGAGACACCATTTAAATGTCCTAGTTAGTTGACCAGTGGGCTTCATCACATGTATTAAACAAAGAACCTTTGCTTGAATTTGGAGTCTTTTGCCCCCAAAACATGTCTGTGTGTTTTCCTAGGTTCAGTTTCTGGATACTGTATATAGCATATAGCCAGGATGTTTGCCTTTGTTGCATGGTTTTACGCAATGCCAATTAGCTTTTCTTAACCATTAAATAATTAAACTTTTCTTAGCTGGGGTTTGGGATGGGGGAGGGGCCTACACAGTTTACACCCTGAAAACACCTTAAAGACAAGAACAATTTCTGTCATACAAAGGGAGTATGTTGGAGGGTATCTCAGCCTCAAGAGAGGAAGGCAGGAGGTTGTTTCATAATGCTGATCATACAAAATTATTTATGTTTCTATTTAAGCACTACATTAGACAGACAAATGGTCAGTGCAGAGGAGATATGTTTAGCAGATAGGTACCAAAATCCAAATTCTAATTACACTATAAATATAAAATGTCATAGCAAGAGTTATATATATTTATACAAGATTATTTTTCAAATGTTATAATGCCTTTAGTCTTTCAAGTTTTGGACAGATGAAAATGACAGCAATGCCAAGAAATCAGAACTGGAGAAGCGTGGGAGGTTTGTTACCAAATGTAGTTGTGTTCCTTAGTCTCCAGGTTTCCTGACTAATCGCTGTTTTGTGCTGTTTCACCTAAACTTTAGGTCAGGTTCTGACTCTTAACATCCTGATAATGCCTGCATATGCATGACCCTGGGCATGCCGGTTTTCTATTCAGCAGCTGGGATCCAGCTAGTTGGCAAAGAATCTGTTAACACTTAAGGTGCCTGGTTGAAAAGTTTAAATGGCTGTTGGGTTTGTCTTCCTTGAAGTAAATGTACCAATAGCTTCAGTGAATTTTACCCAATCCTGCATCCTAACTTCAACCCAAAAAGTTGCTGTGTGCTTTTTTGTTACCTTGTCTCTTGCAGTGTTGAATATTGCATTTTAGGTTAACATTCAGCTCTACTGTGAAGTTTCCAATCTACTAAAAAGCCTTGGGGATTTGGGAGAAACCCAGCATTAAACTTGCAAAGTTGTCTTCTACAGACTTACTACTGAATGCTTGCTTAAAATTTGCAAGTAAACAGATTAGCTTTTTAGAGCTGGGGAGGATGGGTATTCCTCAGTCCGGACTGTAGTGGCTAAATAAGCACACGGGCATTGGTGCTTCACTTTCTTGATTGTGGCAGTCAGATATCTTCTAGAGAAACTGAAGGGTCTGATCCATGGGCATCAGTGGGCTTCCATCTTGAGAGTGAGAGGCCTGGGGAAGGGCAAGCACAACCGGAGGCATTGTACTGAACTCTGACACTCTTCATTGAACTGCCATCTTGTCCTTATGCTTTTGGGGGTAGGGATGGGGAGGGGAAAGAAAACTTAAAAGAAACTTGAAAGGGATCACATACTACTAGTTTGTACTAAGTTTTTCAGGAAAGGGAAACAAATTTATATATATATATATATGTGATATATTTTTACACTGTTTTATTAATGCTAGGAAGTATTAAATGTTTCACTTTATCTGTATGATAAAAGTCAAGACAATATTATGGACATTGAAACTTTGTAAGGTGGTCACTAACTTCTAAAACTGCATTAATTGTGAATAAGCTATGCTGTCAAAATAAGCATTGCTTTTCTTGATATATAGCTCTCTGGAGCCAAGAAGAATAAGCCTCAAGTTCCAATGTAGCCATTGTCTGACTAGAAAAGTGGCTTGCAAACCTTTAATATAATGTATATTGTATGGATGTTGTTTCTCCTAGAGGATTGCAACTCATGGTGTATGTTTTTACTGTTGATTGTATACAATTATCTGTTCAGTTGGTAAAGTGATTAATAAATGTGTTAAAATATGAGGCTGTTTGTCATCCTTGAAACAAATGAACCTCAATGTCATCACCACCTTAGAAGCAAAGTATGTAAAAGTCAGTAATATTCATATAATAAGCCATCAAAAATTCTACCACCTTGCTCTGGGATCAGATAATGCTTGATGGGCTGCCAGCTGACTCCCCTGAGATTTCTACACAACTTTAGAAAGTAGAGTACATTCTGCCTTCCTCTCTTATTTTCATTTCTTAATTTAGGTCATTAATTTCTTTTTAATACGTATCAATATATCAAACAAGAAGCATTAAGTGCCCACTATGCACCAGGGACTACTAGGCAGAATGTTTCATTTATCAAGGAAGACAACGTGTACACATATAAATATATACAGAATAAATGAAAAATAGACCAATTCAGGAAGGAATCACTATCAGTTCGGGAATTCAGGAAAGGCTATGTGAATAAGGTAGTCGGGATTCTAGGAGGCAAAGGTGTGGAAGAAAGTACATTCACATAAGCTTTTCAACTTTTAGAAGCAATTTGCAGGTGAAATACTGCCTTGCTTTTATAATAGGAATAATGTTTCTTCTTATTCAATCTTGTCTTTCTAGTTGTAATAAACTATAGCTATGAGATAGTGGAAAGAGCAATAGATTCTGAGTAAGAGTCAAATTTTCCACTCTTAACCTCCTCCCAATTCCCAAGGGAATGACCCCATTCTAAAAAAGTCCAGTTAAGGGGGGAGGGTCTAGAATTAAGGATATTTGGGAAGATTATGGAGGTATTACAGCTTAATGTACCAGAATTCTAAAAAAACCTCAGGCTTAAGTTAGATCATCTCCTAGCCAGAAAAGTCCTTGGACATAAGTCATATTTAGGAATGGCCTGAAAATTCAAAAATGAATTGATATGATCACATAAAACCGAAAAGATTCTGCCCAAGCATCTGGGATAGGGAAAGTGGTCAAATGAGGGGAAAAGTCCTTTTGGATCAAATTTCTCAGATAAGGTTTGTAATCCAAGATTTATAGACAATTAAGATATATACACACAACAACTAAGAAGATATAGATATATCACTTATATATCTATATATCAAATCAAAAGCCATTACCCAATAAATGGTATATAAAAGAATATGAACAAACAGTTCTCAAAAAAGAATTTCAAACTACTAACCATATGAAAGAATCCTCCAAATCACTAATAATAAGAGAAATGCAAATTTTAAAAAAATTATAAGGTTTTACCTGACAGCAAACTGGAAAAGATGACAAAAGATAGGTGTAATCAATGTTGGGAGTGTTATGGGAAAATAGGTACACTAGCGAGTTACTGGTGGACTTATGAATCAGTGCAACCATTTCAGAAGGCAATTTTGAATTACGCAAAGTGACCAAAATACCCTTTGGTCCAGAAATTCCACTATTAGGCTTATACCTCAAAGAGGTCATTGATAAGAACACAGTCCCTATAGACACCAAAACATTTATAACAGCACTTTTTGTGGCAGCAAAGAAGAGGAAGCAAAGCAGAATGGGAATCTACTTGGAGAATGGCCAAACTGTGGTATATGAATGTAATGGATTATTACTGCGCTTCAAGAAATGGCAAATATAATAAATACAAAGAAGCATGCAAAGACTGACATTCTAATGCAAAGTAAAGTAAGCAGGGCCAAGAAAACAATAAACACAAAGGCTACAACAATGTAAACAGAAAGAACCACAAAACAATCAAAGTGAATGTTAACAAAATTACAATGAATAAGCATGGCACCAAAGAAGAGATGTGACAAAACACCCCTGCTTCATTCTTTTTCAAAGGTCGGACGTCTATCAGTACGGTACCATATATTTTGAGATTTTTTCCAATGGATTGATACGTTTTGCTAAAAGAAAAAAAATTTGCCTCTTCCTCTTTTTTTCCTCCCTTTCATTAAAAAAAAACATTATTTGATACGTAGGATAACTCCCCAGGGGGGAGAAGGGGAAGGTTACTGCAGAAATTCTAGTGCTATAAAAAACTAAATACATCAATAATGATAAAAATCAATAATGAAATAAAGAAATTAAGAAGCTCGAGGCCCACTCTAATTTTTAGCTTATTAAAATTAAATGACTATAATTTATATTTGGCAATGGTCCACAACTGGTTAGTTGATGATAAATTACCCAGTAACAAAAAAAATTCACTAAAATCACAAGCACAAATGGATCTGTATGTAACTGGTTAAAGATTTCTTATACCTTTAGCAAGTGATGCACCAAAGAGCTATTGTTCCAGAAACATAGTAAGATCCATTAACTTGTATTTTCAGACTACTTCATAGCACTGGACAACAAATCTATGTTGAATAGGCACATTAAGTTAAAGATTCCATTTGATTGTTAAGTCATGCTTTATAGAACAGGGTAATTGGCATTTCGTGATTATTAGCTTACTCTATTAAGTTAACATATATAAAGTCTATGTAAATTCCATACTGAGGATTATTAATATAGTAATGATATTTACCTATACTTGTATGGATTACCTACACATTATGGATTACAAACTAGATAAATATTTAATTAGATCCTCACAACAGCTCCATGAGGCAGAGCAGGTACTATCCCTGTTTTATAGAGGAGGAAACTGAGCCTTCTATGTAACATATTAAAATACAGCAAGTACCACAAAATCAGGACTTTAAGTACAATCAGTATACATTTTACTGGGGGAAATAAAAAAAATCAGATATAACATTATTCTTGACTTCCAAAGGACTAGTAAGGCTTAAGGGCCAGAATCAAAGTTAAAAATTGTTACTCCACTATAAAAGCAAAGTAACATTTTATCTCCAAATTGCTCCCATCAAAGTGGGAAACTAATACTTTCCTCTGATTATATGATTTTGAAGTTCAGTCTTTCAACCAGCTCTTTTCTTCACTTTACTCATCTTAAATTTTTTAGTTAAGAGTGTGGTGAAAGTAATGAGCATTATTTTGCATAAGAACTTCTTATTGGATATCAATTCTTTCCTTTTAAAAATGCTTACTTTACTTGCATTTATAATAATAAAGCACAGTTCTGACCACGTCACCTCCCTACTCACTAAACTTCAGTGGCTCTCCATTACCTTCAGGCCCAAATGCTATTTTGTCCCATGTTCCATGCCTAGAATGGACGTTCAACTCCTCACTTTTGCCTCCTTGCTTCCTTTAAGACAAGAGTTCAAATTACATCTTCTGCAAGAAATCTTTTATCACACCCCCCTCTTCTCTTCTCCCTTTCCTTCAACTTATGTCTTCTCTCAGAGATCATCTTCCACCAATTCCATACATATCTTGTAAGGATACTCACATGCTGTCTCCCTTGTTAGAAAACGAACTCCTTGAGGTCAGAGACTGGCTTTGCTTTTCTTTGGAACCTCTGCACCTAACAGTGTCTGACACATAGTGAGTGCTTCATGAATTTCAATCAACATGCATGTCAATAAACATTTATTAAGCACCTACTATATGCCAGGCTTTGTGCTAAACACTGGGGAGCCAAGGAGGCAAAAAATAGTGGCTGCTTTCAAGGAGCTCATAGTCTGAAAGTTTATCCAGTAGCTGATTAACTGCATGAAGTTTAAATTTTATCCTAGAGGTAATACAGAACCACGGGAATTTACTGAGTACAGGAGTGGCATGGTAGCATGTGCATTTTAACCACGTGAAAGATGAATTGGAGTGTGTCAGAACCAGGACTTGAACCTAGGTCTTCCTGGCTCTCTATCTTCTACAAGTCACTTCTTTTTCATGGTACACAGCACCAAATTTAGTACTCCCTCTATGATATGACAAAGGACAGGATTATCTCTTTCCTTAAGGCAGCCTAAGACAGCATCAGAGTTGGTGAGGAGGGGTGATGGTGGTACATGTTCACAAGATCCTCCACATTTTTTTCCATGAACCAGTCACCCCTGCCTTCCCCCACCCCCAACTGTGTATCTGTACAGTTGATTTTGGTGTTTTAACTTTTTTTTACGGTTGATTTTTCCGAATGCCAGACCTCAGGATTGCTCCAACTAAATTTCATCTTTACAGAGTCGTCTCATCCTCCTAGCTTTTTAGAGATCTTTTGTTTGATTGCACTAATCACCACTGTAGAGCCTATAAATAGGATGTAGCAAATCAATAATAATAAATATTTGTTAAGGCTCTCATCAGGCATAAGGGTGCCCTGCATGTCTGTAAGTCTGAGTGATCACAAAGATTTAATGAAATACATGAAAGCAGGTAAACTGAATATAAGGCGCGTACCAGCCTTTTGTCAATACAGACTATTAAAGCCTATAAGGATTTCACAAAATGTAAAGTTCAATTTTCAGTCAGGAATTCTGAGTTAGAATTAACAAGAAAATTTTGCAAAGTTCTAAATCAAAGAATGTGTAATGACTATGACTTAATCGGACACCAGACAGTAATAAATGGAGGATAAAGAAAGTTGTTTACCCAAATCTATATGGTCATAGAAAATAATCTGGAAAATCAGAAAATAAAAATTCCACTAAACAAAATGGAACATTTTACATTATAACACTGAATACATTTTTTAAAATGATATGGAATTAACTTGTCTTATTCTATATTTTTGAAGCTTTTTATAATTTTTTTTTTGGCTAGGTAATGGGGTTAAGTGATTTGCCCAGGGTCATACAGCTAGTAGGTGTATCAAGTGTCTGGTCCTCCTGACTCATGATCACTTGACTCCAGGACCCGGTGCTCTATCCACTGCACCACCTACCTGCCTGGCTTTTTATAGTGTTATATATAGTCTAACTGCTAACTAGACCTCTGCCTAACCACACCGCCCCCAAAAAAGGAAAGAGGCTACATTTTATCTGGTTCACTTAGACTTTCAATATTTCCTCAGTCATTGTCATTGAATTTATTCCTAATTTTTCAGACCAAATAATTACAATGGAAAAAAGAAACATCCTTACATCTATCTGATGAACTCTTTGCTAAAGCAATTTTGTTGTTGCTTAGTCATTTTCATTCACGTTCGATTCTTCGTGACCCCTTCTTGGGGGTTTTCTTGGCAAAGATACTGGAGTACTTCGCCATTTCCTTCTCCAGCAGGACACTGAGGTAAACAAGATGAAGTGACTTGCCTAGCATCACACAGCTAATAAGTGCCTGAGGTTGGATTTGGACTCGGATCTTCCTGACTCCAGGCCCTGCTCTCTATCCACTGCGCCACCTACTTGCCCTGTGCTAAAGTAATTACAAAATTTTTAAAACTGTGCTTTGGTGGTGGAAGGGTATTTTTCCCCCTTTACGAAACCAGAATAGTCAATATTGTTAAATATGAAATACAAATCCCTGAACTTCAGAGCTACAGAAGTCCCTTAGAGCAATCTTGTAGTCCAAGTTCAAAATTTTTCTTAAAGAAGAAATTGAGTCCTAGGGAGGTTATGGAATTTGCCAAGTCACACAACTTATTAGTGGTAGAGTCAAGACTAAAACTCAAATCTTTTGACTCCAAAGAGTCCAACAAGGTTGTGCAGGATGATCTCCAGTGAATTCTAAAAGCACACATATGTGTGTAGAATAACTAGCACTGGATTTGACACCAGGGGCTCTGGATCCAAATTCTGATTCTGACATTTACCAGCTGTTACCATTAAGCTCTCTAAGCCTTATTTTCTTTATTTGTAAAATAAGGTAGGTCATGTTTGAAGGAGGATTTATTGTGAAGAAAATGGTTCCTTAATTTTAAAGTATTATAGAAATGGAACTGATTTTCATTGTTGTCATTATTACAAAGGACGGATGGATGGATATGATATAACTTAAGGACAAATGTGAAGACTAGTATGAACCTACAAGCATATTGTCTGGAAGGCTAAAGCCTGGAATAAGCTTATAGAAATACTAATAACAGGAAGGAACAAGGCTTCTTAAGCTATTTTGAGCTTTTTTACAGATATCACAGAAGGGATTCCTGAAGTGTGAGTTAATTTAGTCACTGATATCCTTTCAATCTCTGAGATTCAAATGATGTGGTGATTCTGACAATGCACTTACTCTACTACAATACGGCTAATACTCCCACTGATCTCCCAAAATCACTTTCTCCAAGGTCATCAGTGACTTCTTTATTGTCAAATCTAATGGTCTCTTTTCAGTCCCCATCCACCTTGACCTTTCTGTAGCATGATTTAGTGATCATTCCCTCCTTTATATTTTCTCAAATTAATTCTATAATTGAATACCACTCCTCACCCTACTTCTGGTTCTCCCCCTACTCTTCTGACTTCTCAGTGAACTTCAGTGTTTCTGCCTCCTTTCAATGCCAAGAATGGATATGCCTTAAGGTGCTGTCTTTCGCCCTCTTTGTTTTAAGCTCTTACCTGGTCATTTTGATTCATTCCCACTTTTTTTACAGACCATATTCATATGAGTGACCCCAAATCTATTATCTCTAACCATGACCTCTTTTCTGAGCTCTAGCCCCACATTTCTAATATCTTACTATTACCTCACCTTTTTCTGGTGGACACATACTTTTTCTAAAAGAGTTGCAAGAGTTTCTTGGTCTTTGGAGTTTCTTTTTTAGTTTTGGTAATAGTACTTTTTGACAGCTTGTATACAACCACACATACTCACTTATATTGTTTTTTGAACAAAGGAATGTACAATTATTTAAAAATTACAGAATAAAAATATATATTGATTACTTTGGGGAAATTTTAGTTTAGCTAAGTATGTAAATCACTGTGCAAAAATAATAAATCAATTCAAATAACTGCTTTGCATAATAAACTTAGTTTTAATAAATTATACCAGTAACACAACACTGCCAGGCAGAGAAGACACACACAGAAGAAAGAAAGAAGGTGCTAAGACTCATGAAGAGAGTAAATGCATACAACAGAAAAACATAGCAAAACTGGAAGCTGAAACGTGCAAGGAAGATATCTTCAGGAATAAAAATGGAAATTACTCAAAGTACCAAGAAGTCACTTCATAGAACTATACAAAATAATAACAGAATTCATCCGGTGGTGGGATAGCGTAGGAGTTTGGTAGAAGATACAGGATCTTAAGGGAAATAATGAAAAATGTAAAAACCAAAACCAAAAAAGCCACTACACTATAAAACACTCATCAGTAAAATTATTTGGTACTGGTCAAAAATAGAAATGTTGTTCAATAGGAAAGACTAGATAATAAGACCAAGAAGTAATCAAACATAGTAGCAGTATTTGACAAACCTGAAACACAGCAACTACTGGGGAAAGGATTCTTCATCTGACAAAAACTGCTGGGAAAACTGGAAAGTAGTCTAGATGAAAATAGGGTTAGACCTTGTCTTTGGCTGAAAGAAGGCTTGGTTTGAATTCATTCGGACAGGACCCACATGTTGTGATTTTGGGGTCCCAGAATCCCTAAACCCCTAAACCTCAACATCCATAATTTAGGCTCATTTTCTTCTTGGTGGAGATGGAGGGAAAACTGGCCACCTTCCCTGAGTTTTTTAGATACTTGAAAGACAATTATTCAATTACTTTTTGTTATGTGCTTGTAGTCATCTCTGGTTGGTTTAGATGAGTCATCATAGGATATGGAAAAGTGAGTCTTCAAAACTGATTTGAGTAACAGGAAAAAAGTAGCTTATGGAATGACCAGTTCATAAGTATTTGAATCTGGCCCCCAGTCTGCAGAAAGCAGTGAATCATGTTTTATTCTTCCTTACTTTTTTCATACATACTCAGTAAATAAAATTTAGCTGTTTGTAGTACTGGTAGTGTAACAGAAAGAATCTTTATGTTAGGAAATCTTTTCCTGACTTTTTTGTGGCTCCAGGCAAACCTTATAAACTCTCTGCCTCAGTTTCTTTTTTGCAAAACAAAGATAATTATAGACGTCCTTCCTTAACCTTTCATAGAGGGTGGGAGGATAATTGAGATAATAAAGCCAAAACACTTTTGAATGCCTTAAAGGAAGGGCACTGAATGAATTTGAGGTCTTACTGCTGTTAGCATAAAAAAATAGGATTAGACAGATCAACCTCTTATATCATACATCCCATTAAGCTCCAAGTGTATACATGAGCTAAATATAAAAGGTTATTATCATTAAAAAAAAATTTATAGCCATGACCAGGGAAGAAATCTTAATTAAACAAGCTATAGAGGTAATCATAAAGATAAAACAGACAATTTGATTATATAAAACTGAAAACCTTTTGCATGAGAAAATCAATGCAGTCAGAATTAAGAGTACATCTTTACAGCAAATATCTCTGACACCAAAGAGAAATAAATTATTGTACTGTCAGGGAAGTAAGTCCTTCGAAGCTTAAATGATGTGGGAATGCTGGATTCTGAGAGGACTGGAATGTCTAATTATTTCTGGGCTTTTCCAAGCAATGCATTTTATGCTAGGAAATGGAAATGAGAGACATTGTCATCTCAGTTTTCTGAGGGGAATCAGAAAAAAGCAAGCCTACAAGAAAGCCTGTAGGGAGTCAAAATTGTCCAGCAAGACATGGAAGAACACATCATGTTTTCAAAGGAGCTCACTTCATTTAGATAGCAAAAGGGCCAACCATGGGCCACAGGAGCAAAGTACAAAAAAATAAAAAGTAACAATGAAGTTGTGAAGGAAATGTTGAAAGCAATAGATGTAGCCAGGGAGGATGCTAACAGATGGACTGATACATTTCCAATATAATCCTGGGCCAAAAGAATTTGTCTCTGGATTTGAAGTAAAATTGATTTAAAAAAAAACTTTTTTGAGGTTTAATTTGATTATACAGACTTAAATGTCCAGTGGTTATTGTAGATCCCTTTATACATTGTAGAGCTATATATGTTGTAAGATTCCTTGTATATATATTATTTAAAACTGTTCTTCCAAATTTATTGAAATATTATCCACTTCTAGCTGTATTTTTCATATTTATTAATGTCAATAAGATATAGAATGCTTTAAAAGGTATGATGTTCAACATAGAGAATTGATATAAATATGTAAGAACAAGAACTATTACGACAATGGATAGAATAGGCCATTTTCATAAGAAAAATATGCATGTGGAAGAATGTCAAATCACTAATAGTAAGAGAAATGCAAACTAAAGAACAAAAGATAAAAATAAAATATTGGAGGTGCTGTGGAAAGAAAAGAAAGCATTGTGAATTGGTCTGTCTTAAAAAAAATTTGGTATTATATCCAAAAAGTCACTATACATAATCTTTGAAAGAACAATGCCATTATTAGGCAAATCCCCAAGAATATCAAAGCTAAAGGGCAAGGATCTATACATACAAAATTTTTTATAGCAGCACTATTTTGTGGTAGTAAAGAATAGGAAACAGTGAGTGCCCCATTGGTTGGAGATTGGTTGAACAGATTATGGTAAGAATATAATGGAATATTATTTCTATCATATAAGAAATGTCAAATAAGAAATCAGAGAAACTCAGAAATATTTTAATGATCTGATGTTGAACAAAATAAGCGGAACTAGGACAATTTACATAATGATAACAATAATGTAAAGAAAAATACCTGAAAGATTTCAGAATTTTCATCAATGTCATGAATAATCATGATTTCAGAGGAATAATTATTAAACTTGCCTTCTGCCTCTTGGCAGAGATGTGATGAACTGGTGGTGGAGAATATGATATGATTTTTAGACATGGTCAATGTTTTGAATTCTTTGGCTAGACTTTACTTATACGTAGAGGGACTGCTCTGTTTGGGTCAAGGAAGGTGGTGGAAAGTGACATAGATTTTTAACAAAAGAAAGAACATCAGTACAACAAAAATGCACAAAAGAACATTTTTTAAAGTTCAAAAGTTTATAATAAACTAGCTAAATTCATTACTAACATTAAATTTGGTATACACTTAAGAAAACAAACTGTACATAACAATATTTCATATTTCCTACAACCCTCTTTTTGGTTCTTTTCTGCATATTTTGTGTTTGTTGATGATCAAGTTTATAATAAAAAGAGAAAGGAAATATCTATGGGAAGATAGGAGAGAGCTGTAGCTACCTTTCCTAGTGTCAAGTTGCATTGTTTTGGGGCAAACTGTAGAGTTTAGAAGGAATGACACTGCCAATGTCCTTGGTTTAAATTCTCACTTATAAAGTACACTGACCTTCCACAGTGTTGCTGGATCTGCTCCTCCTCAATCCTTTTTTAAATTTAGATCTGAGTAAAAAGACTGCCAGTTTTATAATATCTTGTGACCTCAGGTTTTGTCACCTATGCTATGTTTTACTAGCTGTTAACCAAGAGAGTTTAAGAGCAGATATATCTGACAGAGGGGTCTTCTGAGAGGTTCTCTTACCTCCATTTCATGATGCCAATCCTCCACTTCTCTCACCTCCATTTCATGATGCCAGTCCTCCACTTCTTCCCATCCCTTAGATAACCCCGTGGGACCAATTCAAGATTCAGATGAATCTCTTGGGGTCATTCCAAATGTCCTTGATAAACTCAAATTTATAATTATCTTCAAAGTGAGTCCCATCTGTAAGTGAGTCCCATTTTCAAAGTAAGTGAGTCTACATCTGCACAAAGTTTTAATGTTTTGTTAGGCTTAGTTAGCGTGGTGGTAAGAATCAGGGAGATGATTATTCTGCTGTTCTCTCCCCTGGCCAGACAACAACTTTAGTTCTGGATACATTTTAGGAAGGCCTCTGATGAGGAAAGAAAGTGACCAGTATGATGAAAAGACTCAAAACAATTCCATAAAAGGATCATCAATAAAAAGAATTAGGTATGATTATACTGGAGGAAAAAAAAAGTTAGGGCAGACATAGTAGCTATCTTCAAATACTTACAAGGCTCTCAAGTGAAAGAAGCAAGCTTAATTTTCTGCTTGGCCCCAGAGAAGACCAGTAAGCAGAGTTAGTAGGAGGCAGAATTCACTCATGATAAGAACTTCCTAATAAAAATGGAATGTTCTGCCTCATTAAATGTTGAGTTCTGTCACTAAATCTACTCCAGGAGACACTAGATGACTATTTGTCAAGGACATATAGAAAAAATTACCACACTGGGTAGACAGCTGGACTACATGCCCTTTGTAAAAGGCCCATCCCAACTCAAATTCTAAGACTGCTACTCCAGGCTTCTTTTCACTATGTTTGGCTTCCTTTTGCCACAAGTTATTACCATCAGGATATGAAATGAAGCTTCTAAGCCAAATTTTAATCACACATTTCCATTTCTTTCCAATCTTTATTCTCCTTTACCACATTAAAAATCAAGAAGCAAATTCTTTCAAAATTTTGACTCAGATAAGTCAACTGAGAAAAATATCTGGTGCGCATGGCACGTTTTGGCTCATATGTACAGCACAACTTGATTTGAGGCTTAAAGTTAATAATCATCATCACCACTTTCACCAAACTAATAAAAATATTTACCTTGGGGTAAAGCTTGAATTATAGACAACAGAAACATACTAAGTACATATAATCTGGAATTAAAAGACACTTCAGAGATCATTTTACTGAGAGGAATCTTGAGGCCGAGTGAAATGACTTGACTTACCCAAGGTCACATAGTAGTAATTAGCTAGTACTTGAATGTAGGTAAATCACCTCCCAATCCAGTGCTCTTTCCACACACAGCTTATCTGTCTTATTTCTTTCTAATGTAGATCTAACCCACAGTGCTTAGATAATAACTTTACTTTGGTATAGATAGAGCTAGCTTTTCTAAGTTTTTTTTTACTTTTCCATCTTGCTTTTTCCACATGATTAAATGGACCTGCAAATTTCACTTCTCTCACCGAGAAACGAGGTGTCACTGACCATTCATTGCTCAACTTTTGCAACAATGGGTGGAAAGAGAGCAGATGATTAAAAAAACAACTCAAAACTAAATGAGCCTGTTCTCCATAGAGCCAATGACAGTCTTCTCCAAAAACCATCACCAAGGCAAAGAAGGGTGATTGACTCTCTGTCTCCTTCTTGGGTGATTTCTTCCAGGCATCAACAAACAAATGAAAGAGGTATTTCCAAAGCAGAAGCAAACCCTTTAAAGCTTCTCTTTGATCTTGTATTTGGAAGAAAGAGAAAATACAAGCACATCAGATTCAAGAGCTTAGTGTTCTGCAAACCTGCACAAGTCAGAATGAAAAAAAAAAATTAGAGCTGGAAGGGACCACAAGTATTCAACCTATTCATTTTACAGGTAAGAAAACTGAGGCAAAAAGAAGGTACACTGCCTTGCCCAAGACCACACCCAGCATTAGTGCCAAGACTAAGAAGAGGGTCACAGTCTCTTGATGCCCTTTCCAAAGTTTCTCCCCTTGTAGTTGCAAGAAAAGCTTTATTTGAGGAACAGGAAAAGTACAACAGAATTATTTCTAATGCCTCTGCTGGCTGCAGGAACATTTATTCAGAGAGGGGAAAAAGATATCTGTTCAAACACTCTTGGAGAGCTTTTTAAATAAGAACAGGGCCTTTAGCCATAAAGCAGCTAGAGAGTGTCGGGCCTGGAGACAAGAAGACTCATCTTCCTCAGCTCAAATCCAGCCTCAGACACTTTCTAGCTATGTGATCCTAGGGAAGTCACTTAACCTTGTTTGCCTCAGTTTCTTCATCTGTAAAATGAGCTGGAGAAGGAAATGGCAAACCATTCCAGTATCTTTGCCAAGAAAACTCCAAATGAGGTCAGGATGATTTAGATGTGACTGAAATGACTGAACCACAACAAAAAAACCCAAAGGGTCTTCAAATCATCCCTTTAAAATTAAATTCATATTAACAAGAGATATAAACAAAATGCTAACGCTAAAATGCTGGCCACAAGTATTAACTAAAATTTAGGCAACAATATTGCCTTAAAAAATTTTGAGCTTTTAAAATTCTAAGAAGGCAAGAAAAACTGTTACCTAAATGTTGTTCATGCTTATTATAACGAGCACTTTAGTTTTAGATAGGTCAAATTTATGATAAAGTAGACCTTTGTTTTGTGTATATCTATTGTTTACATGTATATTATGTGAATACTGAGGCCCATTATGTAACCTGTATTGCCCATTTATGCCCATTTTATAGGACCATGATAAGAGAGAAATCATGAAATAGTGGAAATAGCACTGAAATAGAAGTCAAGAGACCTGGGTTCCAGCCTCTGCTCTGTCACAATAATTTTAGGAATTCACTTAAATTGTATGGGTCTTTGGTTTCCTTAGTCATAAAACAAGGAAGTTAGATTAATTGATTTCTGGTACTTCAGTTGTAAAATTCTATGACACAATTTTTAAATGATTAGAGGGGATCATAGTTGTTCTCTTTGCTTTCAAAATAATACTACTGAGACTAGGATCCTGGTCAAGAATGCAACCTCCAAATGTTTTTGCTATAAGAAAACTCAATCCACTTGATTTAGTTTCCAACAGGGGCAGTTTACATACTTTTCTTTGCACTTTCTGACTTATTTTGATTATAATTTAGAAAAAATATTTTCTTTTTAATATAGGTTGTTTCTTGAATTTTAAAGTGGATTCTGATTATATTTTGAGCCAAATTTTGTTCCTGTGAAAATGCACCCCATTTATGATAATGAAAATTATGGAACTCAATGAGAAGTTAGTATTAAACTTACAAAGAATCACTTTATAACCAAATTTTCAGGACTACATAATAAGAAATATCTACAAGTAAATTTCCCTTGTAGATACTTATTATATGAAATAACAATCACTATTTAACAATTTAGCAGTTTTAGTTAACAGATAATAAAAGGCTACACAGAGTATCTTTGAATATTTGTTTAAGCACTAATGCTCACTCCATCTTAAGAAATTTCAATGCCTGCTGCATATTTACATGCTTAGGATTTGGATTTCCCCAGACAAAAAACACCTTACAGTTTTACTTCCCTAGGATATTTAAGAAACTTTAAAATAAGAGTTGTTTCCCCACATAAATATTTCCAAAATCAGAAAATAAATCTATCTTAATGAAATCTTTCCTAAACAATTAAATATGAAGAAATACAAAGATCAGAGGTAAAAACACTTTCAATATAATTTTAAAATGTAGGTACGAAAATGGACTGAAGAGTTAAAAGTATATTCTTCAACATTCCATAAATATTAACTACTGCTGAGGTCAGAGTTGCTAAGAGGAAACTGAGACATTGTCTTTTTTAACTCATTATAACTCCAGTGTAACTGCTCAACTTCAGTCTTGTGTCGAATACGGGTCTGAGTGAGTTCTTGCAAAAGATGTTCATTAGTACAAATCAAAGAACTGTAAGAAAAATAAAAGAAAAAAATTACTTGTTTTTCTTTCTTTAAAATGAAATTCATTAAAATGAAATTTCTTTAAAACAATGTGCTCAAAATTAAAATACATAAAATCCATCCAAAAGTTCTAAAACATTTCAAAATTACCATCCTTCCTGAAAAATCTTCATTCAGTATGCCTCAAAAATTTAAGTTCAGTTAATTACTTTGTTTTCCAGAAACAATGCATTAATGGAGTCTTAAAAATGGAATAAAAGGAACAAAACCATTTCATTCAGATCAACATTATTATTTCTGCAAAAATAAACCCATTCATCCAGAGACCAACAGAACTAATGTCACATCTTATTAAAATCAATTCAACTTCAAGTGCCTTCTCTTTATAAGGAACCACACAAATCTAGGGGAATGGTACTGTGCTAGCAGCCACAGGACACAACATATGTTTGGATAAATGAATACACGGTCATTTAAGGAGGGAGAGAGCACTATCAGCTGGAGGTGGGGTAAATAAGAAAAGGCACCATGGAAGAGATGGCCTTCCTTCACGAAGTAAGGAAAGGGTTCTGAGAAGCAGAGATGAAGATCAAGTGAATTCCAGGCTTCAAGAAGCAACTAATTTTCCAGGCTAGTTACAATATAGCCTACACGAAAGAAAATAAGATGAATAAGACAAGAAATATTGGAGCCAGATTGTGAAGGGTCTTAAAAACCAGAGAGATGAGTCACTATTTTATATTACTCATTATTAGGAGCCACAGTTTTTGAGCAAGGAAATAAGATAGATAGGAAGATAGATATAGTGAAAAGTTGTGTATTTGGATTCAGGTCACCTGGGTTTGAAATCTGTCTCTGCCACTAATTACATGTATGAACTTAGGCAAGTCATTTAACTTCTCTGCCTCTCAACTGTCTTATCTGTTCAATGAGGTGACTGGACTATAAGACCTCTAAAGTCACTTCTTACTCTAAATCTATGAGCTCACAGTTTAGGCTGCTAAGTGGAAGATGGATTCAATATAGTTGATATGCCTAAATAAGTAGTCTAGGCCTCAATTAGGCTAGTGACAGTATAAGTGGAGAGAAGCTAAAGGATGTTAAGAGATACTACAGTGGTAGAATTAACAAAACTTGACAACTGATTGGACATGGAGAGTAAGGGAAAGAGGAAAGTCAAGGGTAACTCCAAGGTTATGTACCTATGTGCCTGTGAAATGAGTGCCCTCAACAGAAACAGGAAAGTGTGGAGGAGGGGCAAATTTAAGAGGGGTAAGGAAAGAGAATGAATACTATTTTGGGTGTATTTAGTTTATAATGCCAATTTCAATTTCGGCAAGGATAAGACGTCTAGCATGAGTTGGCAATTCAAGACTAGAGGTTAGGAGAGAAATTAGGACCATAACTAATCCAGCCATTTCCCAACTGACAGGCATCTCCTCAGTTTTCAATTCTTTTTTTTCAGTTCTTTGCCACCACAAAAAGAGCTGCAATAAATATTTTTATACTTATTGTCCTTTTCCTCTTTCTTTAATTTCTCTGGGGTCTAGACCTAGTTATAGAATTGCTGGGTTAAAGGGTATGCACAGTTTAACAACTTTTTGGGCACAGTTCCAAACTGTTTTCCAAAATCATTGGACTAGTTCACAACTCTACCAACAGTTCATTAGCATACTATTTTCCCATAGTCCCTGCAGCATTTATCATCTTCCTTTTTGTCATCTTAACTAATTTAATGGGTTTGAGGTAGCATCTCAGATTTATTTTTATTCACATTTCTCTAATTTTAGTGATTTAGAGTATTTTTTGTATGATTATTGATAGCTGATTTCTTCCTCTGAAAACTGCCTATTCACATCCTTTGATCATTATCAACTGGTGAATTAAATGGCTCTTGGAAAAGTCCTTTATGCCTGAGCAATACTATCTATGTGATTACTTTCATTTCCTATTCACCCCAGTCATTTCTCATCTGACAAAATATCACTTCTCTCTTTACAACAAACAAATCAATCACTTTTAACCTTCAATTCCTACACAGTGGTGGTCTGGTTTCCAGCTGTGACCTGGACTACAACTGTAGGCTGGGAATGATGGGAATGCTAGAGTTTGCTTCCAAATTCTTTGAGGCTTCTAACAATAGCATTCTCACCTTTGGCCTAAGGAGGGAACAAAGATGGGCAGAGGGAAGGAGAAAATTTCTACCCTAGACTTGTAACAGCTACCATGCAAAAAAGGCATGCATACTCCAAGGACAAGCACATACCTGCACTATTTCCAAATCAGAGAAATTCTTCCAATATTTCTTCCCCCTATCTTTAATGTCCCATCCTTCAGCAGTGTCTCCCTAGTATCCATTTCTATTCTAAACCTTACTCAATCTAACCTCCAAAATATACCTCTTGCCAAATTTCTCTTCAGAGCCTTAAGTTTTTCTCTGGCATGCTGTTCTTCTAATTTACAACCCAAGTCTTTTCATTATTTCCACACTAAACACTATTTTTAAAAATTAAGTCATCACAGGATTGGCAAAAATACTTTATTCAGGATTTGGAATAATTTTAAGAGCAGGAAACAAAAAGAATAAACAAGCATTTTTCTGGTTGAAGACATAATAACAGCAAAACATTCCAAGTATCAGCAATAGAAATGGAGTTATTTAATCTCTGCGTATTTGAAAAATCTATAAAATTCCTCATATTCATAGCTTTCTATTCATGAGAGTGAGCTCCCAGTTTTAGTGCCCTTCCCTAAGAACCTCAGTTTTCTTTATGAATCTCTAGTAAGACATTAGAGTTGTAGATCTGAAAGGACTTTAAATGATGAGATTCATTTCATAGATGAGAAATTGAGGCGCAGAGAGGTAAGTTAATATTAACTAGTCAGTTAGGTCCCAGGACCAGGATGAGAATGAGAATACAGGTCTCCTCATCCACTGCTCCTTTCACAATACCATAAAACCTCTAAATGTTCTCCCTCGTATGATTTTATAAGTAGTAATGCCTTAAAATCATACATTCCTAGCAATAATGTACCTGTGACTTTCCTGAAGCATCTCTGTCAGTTCCTGAATCTTGGCATAGTGTTCAAGATGTTCTTTTAAGTTATCAATTTCACTGGATAACTCCTGATTACTGTTTTGAAGTTCTAAAATAGAAATGGAATATCTTTAGTATTATGTTTTGTCATTTGTTTCTATAAATTGTGAATCTAAACTTAATTTTTAGAATTTGATGATAGTTGTACTCCAAAAAATAAATGTAATTTAAAAAAACACAAATTTTCATACATATAAGTCATGAAGTTAATTAAAAATAAATCTGTAAAACTCGCTCATTAGATCAATTTTAACAAAGAACATCTATCTGTGCTTCTTAGAAAACATGACCTAGATATAAAGAGATATTACAAGAAAATTTGAAGAACATGGAACATATTACTTGTCAGACTTATATAGGTGAACAATTTTTAAATAAACAAGAGACAGAGAGCAAAGTAAGGTGTAAAATGGATAATTTCAATTATGTTAAATTAAAAAGGTTTAGTACAAATAAAACAAACATAGCCAAGATCAGAAGAAAAGCAGAAAACTGAGAAAAAAAATTTTATGGACAGTTTCTCAGATAAAGGTCTCATATCTCAAATATAAAAAGAACTTTGTTAAATGTATAAAAATATGAGTGATTCCCCAAGTGATAAATGGTCAAAGGATATGAACAGGCAGTTTTCTAATGTAGAAATAAAAACAATTTATTGACTATAAAATTTATGGTCAATTTATACATTTATATGCATATATATAGTCAATTTATACATCATGTAAAAATTGCTCTAAATCATTATTGATTAAAGAAAAGCAAATTAAAACAATCCTGAGACATTATTTTATACCTATCAGATTAGCTGAAATGATTGATAGTGGAACTGTGAACTGATCCAACCATTTTGGAGAACAATTTGGAATTATACCCAAAGAGTTATTAAACTGCCTATATCCTTTGACCCAGAAATACCACTACTAGGTCTATTTCCAAAGATGATTAGGGAAAAAAGGAAGAGAACCTATACGTTCTAAAACATTAACAGCAGCTCTCTTTGTGGTGGCAAAGAACTGGAAATTGCAGGGATGTCTTTCAACTGGGGAATGGATAAATAAGTTGTGATGTATGATTGTGATGAATACTACTGTGCTATAAGAAATAATAAGCTCAATGATCTTAGAAAAACATGGATAGATTTGCATGAAATAATGAAGGGTGAAATGAGCAGAAGCAAGAGAACGTTGTATATAGCAACAGCAATATTGTTTTAAGAACAACTTTGAACAATTAAGTAATTCTGACTATTATAAATACCAAAATTAACTATAATGGCCATAATGAAAGTTGATGCTACCTACAGCCAGAGAAAGAACTGATAAATAGAAGTATGTGTAGAATGATTTTACACCCCCACACACCCCCACACAAATATAATTTACATGATAATTTTATTATTTATTTAAAGGGAATAGCAAGTTGTACATAATAGATATGCAGTTTCGTGTGCAATCATCTTTTTTATTATACTGTTATAGAAATGCTTATTTTATTCCACAAATAAAAAATAATAAAAATTTTTAAAAAGCAAGAACGTCACTATGATTACCCTTGAAAAATAAGAAATATAAAGTTACAGTATTTCAGTCTCTCCATATTTTCCTAGTTTATTATCTCTGCTCTGGTTTCACTCTCCTCCTCCTTTCATAATTGTAACCTTACTCAATTCAATAACCATTTATTAAGTATCTATCATGGCCCAAGCACAGTGCTAAGATGGTGATATAAAGATAAACTCTTCTTCTCCCAAACAATCTTTAACTTCAAGAAGTTTGCATTCTACTTAAAGTTAATGAATTAGATTATACTTTATCCTCCACCCTTGAACCTTCATCCCCTGATCCTTCCAGGGGGCATGTCCTGACAGTCTTCTCAATCCTGTCTCCTACCTCCTAAACTGCTCCACTACAATTTCATGTTACCTAATTGACTCATGGCATGCATTTCTGTGTGGCAGTTCTTTTATTTTTCCCTCACTGACTTTCTAACCCAGGCCCTATAGCAGATGTTCTAAATCTTCTCAAACTCCTCCTCCCATATGCACCCCCTTGCTCTCAGCAAATTACCTTGATTCCTACTTTGCTGAATTAAGTTGAGACTATCCATAATGAGTTCCCTTCATCCTCTACACTATACCTTGAAATCCTCAATATTTTCACCCACCTCTAACTTTTCTGCTATAGTCTCAGAGAGGTGCCCAACCCTCTTCTCTTCCTGGAGCTCAATCTATGATTAATAATGTACATAATAATGTATAAACAATGATATGACTAATATCATTGTCTTTTTTTTTTTACCTTCAGTCTCTCCCTATCTTTTGGATCCTGAATGCCTACAAATGTACTCACAAGTACCCTATAGTTGTTAAAAATCTTCACTTGCTCCACCATCCCCTCAGACTATTTTGTCTTATATCATTCTTCCCTTTTGCAAACAAACTCAAAGAAAAAAAATCATTTGTACTCACTGCCTCCAACATCCTCACCATTCCATCATTCATCCATCAACTCTCAGCCACATAGTTTCTGAATCTATCCACTCTGCTGAAATGCTTCCCTCAAAGGAGGAGGAGGATTCACACCCCACCCCCACCCCTCACCTCCATTCTGGCAAGATCTATTAGTGAGTTCTGCTGGCAAAGCCTCTGAGAACCCAAGGTCACTTCCATACCATTATAAGGTAACAGAGCAATACTTCACTACAAGTTCCAACTAGTAATATTCCTCTAAAAGTAAAAGATCATAGCAATAACAAATGAAGCTATAAAAACAAAGGGTATAACCAAAAAGATATTCTTAATCCATGAGTTTTACTTTGCTTCAAATTCAACCACTCAGGTTTAACTTCACTCCACTTGACTTGCTCATTCAACAGCTAGTTCAATTCAACACTGGTTGTGTGCCTTCTATGTGCCAAGCATTAGGTGCTAGGGGAAAAGAAACAAGATCAAAACAGTCCCTGCCCTCAAAAAGCCTATATTCAATTGCAAAGCGTAGGGGCGAGGAGAGGAAGATTCATCTTTTAACCAGTAAGTAAATATAAAGTAACCTAAAAAAGGAGAGAACATTAGGTTGTTGATGGTGATGGGAACTAAAGAATTCACCATGGAGGAAGTACCATTTGAGTTCTAAGAAGTGGAAATATGAGCAAATAATTGTACAACTACAAGTATAAATGGCCTCTGTGAATCCACAGAGGTGGAAGATGAAATGTTGAGTTTAGTCTGGGTGGAATGCAGGGTGTGCACAGCACAGAGTACAGTCAGATAAAGGTAGAAAGGAAGATTTTCATCTATAAGAGGTATTCAAGGGGAGATTTTGGGAATTAACAAGCAGAGAGTTTTCGTACTGAGTAAGGTGAAGCTTATAATAAACGTTAATATCTCTGAAGGGAGAGGAAAAAGCATGGTACGCTGAATAGAGAACCAGTCTTAGAACCAGGAAGGATTAAAGTCTTGCCTTTGACATGTAATGGCTATGGGATCTTGAGCAACTTTCCCTTAACCCTAAGTGCTTTAGGAAACTCTCTAAGATTACAGGCTGCCAAGAAAGTAGAGGGAGTTTCTTCACCTAGAAGTTCCTTATCCCAATGAAATTACAAGTACAGTTCCTTTCCCTATCCCAACTCCTATCTCTGACTTCAAATATAACCTATTAAAGGAAAGGCAACACGCTTTCTGAAAGTAGAAATAACACCTGATAATCTACCAATCCTAAATGAGGAAGCATGGAAAAAAGTGTGCAGCTGTAACTTTAAAATTTTCCAGATTATGCCTTGTACAAAAATGTACTAAACAGTTTTGTTTTGTTTTGTTTTTAATTATAAAGTTCTATTAGCACAAGGCCATTTTGTGAGTTAGTGCTTCCCTGGATTTAGGAAACAAGTCCCCATTGTATTTTAAATAAATAATTCTTACAGAAATTAAACTATAGACATGAGAGTGGAAAAAAAACAGAAGCATTACTTCAGTCAGCAAATGAACCCAACATAGCTGGGATTAAGTTGAACTTGGCATATGTGAAATGGAGAAGTTGTGAAGCATACCCTTCCCAATAAACATAGAAAAGAAGGTAGAAATGGTAACAGCAGCTGGTTGCTATGACAATGGAAACAAATTTTGATCCTGATAGGGAAGGACATATTCACTGTATTAAGGGAGAAACAAAAAGTTACTTTCTTCTTTAATGAACAGCAGTTGAGGGTATAAGTAGTTGGGGTACAAGTAGCTATAAGAAAACATCTTTTTATACCAATACTTTTAAGAGGAAAGAACAGCATTATCATTTATTTTTTTAAAAAAATCCACTTACCAAGAGATCTACAAAACTCCAAAGGGAAGCCTTGATGGGTTCATGGCTCAAAAAAAGTTAGGGCAGAAACTACAGGCAGAAGAAATGATCATGGAAGCCTTCTGACCAGGAGAAGAGCTACTATCGTAAGCTATCCTATATTTTTGTGAGTGTATCAGAGGAATTATTTAGATTCACATATTTTGATTAGAAATCACTGAATCTTATAGCTGGAAGGGATCTTACAAATATAGGTTAACTCACATTTCATAAATAAAGGAAACCATGGTGCAGAGATGTATGGTGTATTACTTGTCACTTGAGCCAGAGCCAGAACTAGAACTGAGGTCGACTCACAGTCTTTGCTTTTACCACAACTGATTTTTTGCTGCAAATGACGTCTATACCTTCTAAGAACTAGTTAAACTACATAGTTATATTTTGACAACAAAGACTACATCTGGGTAAATACTAAAAATAGACTCAACTAAAAAATAATATTTCTCAGGATTTCAATTACATGTACCCTAAGATTCAGTAACCTGAAAAGTGTGGCTATTGTAAATGAAAACATCATCTTTAACTAGTTCTGAGTACACATGTTACATGAACATGGGACGATTCGTTCCAAAAGAAGGTTATCAATGTTATACATTGACAATCTGCTAAATAGTGTTACAGTAAAGCTTTACAATTTTTTGGATTTGGTTACACTGTATTAAAATGTTACGGGGCAGCTTCCAGTTAAAATGGGAACGTG